AAGCCACCCCCCCTCTCTGAGCCCCCGAGTCCTGCCTGTTGTTGGCAAGACTTTGACCCACTTACTTTGGATACATCACCAGGAAAGATGAGTTGCCAGGAAAGGACATCATGCTTGGTAAAGTAGAGGGTCCCCCAAAATGAGGGAAGCCTTAAATGTGACGGACTGACATAGTGACCACAGTAGTGGACCCAAGCATGCCCACGGTCGTGAAGATAGCACAGGCGCCGACAAGGTTTTGTGTGTTGTGAGTAAGTCTCCATGATTGGGAGCTGACTTGAAGGCAGCCAGCATCAACTACTATTAGTATTTCCCATCATTTGTTCATTAGTTCATTGAGTGGTGAGTAAAGGAATTTCCTGTCCAGAAAACCTTTAAAAAAAAACAACTGGCAATAGTATGACTTGATACCAGCTGGATTGTCTTTTTGTATTATAAGGATTAACTTTTTCCTCACGCTGTAGAATTCCCTCGAGTTTAGTGTATTGACGTCTTATGTCAGAAAGGTCAAGTGTCTAAAAATCACGCTCCTGGCGATTTTTCTTATCTGCTTCTTAAGAAAAATGAAACTTAAGCCTCACAGGGCAGAAAGGAGGGAAGTCAAGATTTAAAATTGCTGAGGGTGAGGACGTCGATGACGGCGATCATTCTGGAAAGCAGTTTGGCAGAATGTAATCAGTCACAGCATCTCACACTCCTGACTTTGTAACTCCATTTTTAGAAAGCAATAGATTCTAAGGAAATAACCTAGAATCAGAGCGTCCCGCGTGGTGATGTTGACTGCGGCCTTATTTACAGTGCGGAAGAATCAGCACCGTAAGTGCCCAGCGGCACCGTAAGTGCCCAGCGGAGAGGGCGTGGAGCTTGTGCGTGGAAGGCTCCGTGTGCTGGGATCTTATCAGCTATCTGTCAAACACTGGGCTGGTGAGCAGTTATGATAACGCGCTCCAGCAATACATTAGACCAGCAGAATAGAAAATTATGTCACGGGATGATCTCAACTCTGGTTGAAAAGAGATCCAGGGAAGAAAAGGACTAAAAGGAAGACCCCACCCTGTAGTAGTGTTTTCCTAAGGACATTTTCCTGCTTCTGCACTTTTCCGTCGGTGACAAAGGGTAAGAACCTCCCTGAGATGGTCAACACGGTGGCTGCGACAGTGGGCTTCAAGTATGGCAAGTATCGTGAGGGTGGCACCCGACTGGACAGTGTTTCATTCTGTTGTACGTGGGGTCACTGGGAGTCAGAGCCAACTCGGTGGCACCTGACAACAAGAGGGACAACAGGTGTCCGAAGTACTGAAACAGAAAAGATACCTCGATGGGAACAGTCATTATTAGTGATACCTCTGGTCTCTTAAAAACACGTGTTGCATCCTGTTGTTCACGAGGTCGCACTTGCTGGCACCTAACAATGACAGTACTTGTCAATACTTGTCCATCCTTTCAGATTTTCTTGTGATGAACATGTATTCATTTTGTATTTAACAAAGACGACAAAGTTTAACGTTTCCATGTTTATGCAATTCTATGGAATACATGCTCGATTTTTTAAAAGGATAGGCTCATTTTAAAGGAAAGAATGATCATCATTTATAATGTAATACAATGAGCTTTTTTTGCCTTTGTAAGCCTGAATGTTCCTTGGAAGTGGGCATGGTGAGACTTCAGCTGTCTTACTTTGGACACGTCACCAGGAAAGACAGACCACTAGAGAAGGACGTCACGTTTGGTAAAAGGGAGGGCCGGTGAAAACGAGGGAAAGGCTCAGTGGGATAGAAGGACACAGTGGCTCAACGCTGGATGTAAACATAGCAGCTACCAGGAGGATGCGACTCCGGGCAGGTTTTGTTCTGTTGTACACGGCGTCACCCAGAGCTAGAGCTGACTGGATGGCCACTAAGAGCAGCGACCGTTTGACTGCAACACCGAAGGTATAAAAAGTGGTTTGTTATACTTGGAACATGAGGAAATAGATTAAAATAATTGTAAAGAATCTTTAAAACAAAAGAGTGTAGCGAGGGCTCTGCCAGGCTGGAGCCCAGTGTTTTACCAATGCTGTGTCCGTTTTACTGACCAGCGCCACAGGGGTCAGAGAAGTGGAGTGGCCTGTCCCAGGAGGGCAGAGTCAGGTCTCAGCATCCCAAGGACCCAACGCCCCACTATTGTTCATTGACTCATGTGCACTGCTGTTATTGATCTACTGGTCTGAGAGGCATCGGGAGGGGGTGACGCCTGAATGGAGGAGTGAGGGACCAACTGTGCTTGGCCTTGACATTCCTGATGTCCCCTAACCCAAGAGGTAGGTCTGTGCCCCTCACTCTCCTGAGGAGATTCTGAGAGGAGGAAGGCTTTCCCTGGGTCCACAGCTGGGTGAGTCTCTGACAGCCTGGCTCCTGCAATCCCTGATCCTGGAGAAGATACAGGGGACATTGTGTCCTACAGGGAAGGACCAGTACGCCCACTCAGTGGGTCAGTCTGAGATGGCTGGTCTCACGTGTTGTCTCTTAGGGATGCTGCTGTCTGACAGCAGACGTCTGCGTCATGAGCACTGCATAGGTCCTGGGCTGTCCTGACATGGGTATATGACATCACTAGAACAATCCAGGAATATGTGTGTTTCCAGGGACTGCCCTAACAAAGACCCACAAACCCGGTGACTTAAAACAACAGAAAGTTATTCTGTTGTAATTCTGGAGGCCACGGGGTGGTCACTATGGCTAACTAAAGGCCTCCAGGAGTTACAGTATTGATCACTGGGGAACAGGGGCTGTGTCTACTCGAAGGAATACGGTACAGCAGTTACTAGGGTGACGTAAAATCTCCATAGTAACATGGGAAGCTCCCCCCTCCCCTTAGTAAAATGAAAAGAGAGCATCCCAGAGGCTTCCCCGCACCGCACCGGAGGTAAATATGCAAAAACCCACGTGTGGAACAGGACTTGGAGTGGGGTGGGGGCGGCAGTCTCCGCTTTAGGTACTTCGGGAATGCATGTACTTTTTGTAGCAATTGTTCAGCAGGCAGGGGTGCGTTTCTGCCCCACTTCTCCTAATCCTACAGAACAGGGGCAGGTACCGAATGTTCTTCAAGGGGTGCATTGGTGGAGCCGGTCCCGCCCACTGGGAGGCGCGGGAGGCAGCGTCATCCGCTGTCCCTTTCTGTTCCAGGACAACGTGCTGAGCATCGTCAACCAGATCATGGACGAGTGCATCCCCCGCGAGCGTGCCCCGCGGGACTTCTGCGTCAAGTTCCCGGAGGAGATCCGCCACGACAACCTGGCCGGCCAGCTGTGGTTCGGCGCCGAGGTAGGAGGCGTGGCTGCCGGTGACGTAGCGGCGGGCGCGCGGCCAGGCGTCCGCTGGCGGCGTCTGTGCACGATACCAGCGTGCGCGCGCGTGCCTGAGACGCGTGCCCGCGCGCTGCTTTCTTTCTCCAAGAGTTCCTAGGGCCTCCCGTTCACAGTGCCCCCCTTTCCACGGGAAAAGCCGCGGTCTTGCTCCCCCAAAACGGCACTGCGTGTGCAAATACACAAGACTTTTCCCTTTGATTTTTAGAAGATTCTCAAGGCCCTGGAATGTAGTGCCTAATAGTGGTTCTTTGTTCAGATGTCCATATAAGCTGTTGGCACCAGTACTTACTAGTTGCTTTGGTGTCACGCATGACCCCAAATGCATCCGCGGAGAACTACTCTGTAGGGTTTGCAGGCTGTGGCCTTTCCGAGCAGATGCCCGGGCCTCTGCGTTGAAGTCCCTCTGGCTACTTTCGGAGCACCAGCCTTCTGGTTAGTAGCCCGGGGCTGCTTGTTGTTGAGTGCTGTCCTATGGATCTCACACTAAGGCCGTGTGACAGACTAGGACCGCCTCACGGGGTTTTCTAGGCTGTAATTTTCACCGCAGCAAATCGCCAGGTCTCGGGGGGTTTGGACCCACAACCTTTCAGTCAGCAGCTGAGCACGTACCGTTTTGCCACCAGGCGCCTTAGCCCAGCCAGCGCTTGGCCATCCAGGGACGCCTCTGAAGTAGTTCTTGGTGGCCACTAAGAACAACAGCCCCCCTCCCCACAGTGATGACCACGGGAAGTTGGTTCTCACCCAAGTTGTGGGAGGTGGGCTGGGCTCACCACCCAGGTTACCTCATAGTAATCTCCGGCCAGTGAGCACCCCACCCCCAGGGGGCACACCAGCCTGCCCCCTGCCCCGGGGCTCTCCCACGGCTCCCCCTGCACGTGCTCCAGGCCTCAAGGGGCAGGAGTTGTGCTGCCCAGGTGGGCTCTGGCCCCCTCTTACTGTCCAGCATCCTACCTGCCTCCCCCTGGTGAAGCCCTGGGGTGCCCCGTCCTGGCCCAGGCCTTTGGAAGCCATGCCTGTGCCTTGCCCCCCCCGTCTGCTCTGAACCCTTTGGGGTGTCCTCCACTGCCATTCTGGTTGTTCGTGGGTGCCCTCAGCAGGTTATCACCCCACCCTGTTTCCCCTCCCTAAAGTGGGGTCCCTCTGGTAGCATAGTGGCTAAGGCACTTGCCTGCTAACCAGACGGCTGGCGGTTCAAACCCACCAGCCACTCCTCGGAAGGAAGGTTGGGCAATCCTACTTCTGTAGTGATACCGCCTCGGAAACCCAAGGAGGGGTCGCTATGAGTCGGGTTTGACTTGACGGCACATAACAACATCAACAACAAAGTGGGGTTCCCAGGGCACGGGGGAGCCGGGGGGAGGCATGAGAGGGTGCAGGTAAGCCCCCTAAGGCCCTCTGGCTGGGCATGTGGCCTCCAGGGCTGCCTTGAGCCCGGCTCTCCCCTCTAAGGTGGAGTCTGGACAGCCCTCGGCCTTCCCACTCGGAACCCGGAAGCTGTCCCCGACGGGGATTGATGGGGGACTGGTTTGGCCTCCAGTCTGGTGAAGCTGGTAGCCAGCGGCAGCTGGGAAAAGACTAGCGAAGAGTTTAGACACCCCCGTTAGGCCAGCGCGGGGGACAGGGGCCCCCTTGGCCAGAGAGCAGAGTTTATACACGTGCCCCTGTTACCGGGTCACCCCTGTGGCCCTCTGTGATGGACAGGCCTGGGAGGGTGGGAGTGATGGGGGTGTGGAGTTACGTGGGCAAGCACGGGGCATCTTCTGGCACCCAGGCAGCCCCGGTGGATTTGTGGGTGCAGAGGAGCCCTTAACCTTCCCAGGAGCCGCGGCTCTCATGCTGATACTCGGGTTCGTGGGCAGGTTCCTCAGAGCCGTGGGATCTGACACAGGCCTGCAGAACGGTGGGGACCAGCGGCTGAACTCGGAGTTGGGATGCTCGGGGCCCCCCAGTAGTCATCCCCCGTGGACAGGGAGTGGGCAGAAATCAGGCAGCCAGGGCTGTGCTGGCCCCCTGCATGGAGCCCCCGCAGACTCCAGGGCCTTACGGCAGCCCCCCTGTCTGGGCCGTGGGAGGGCCATGTCGGCCTCTGGCCAAATCTATGATAGCTGTGAAGGGAAGAGAAACCCTGGATAGGGGACCGGGAGGGCGCAGGTGCCCAGGGCCTGAGACACGTGGCCGAGATGCAGCATGTGGATGGTAAAGGGGCTTCCAGGAGAGGGTCTCGGGGGTGACGGCTGTGTCAGCAGGGTGCCCCTGCTCTGCCCCTCCACTTCCCTCCTCCACGGGCCTCCGCCTGGCTTTGGCCACCAGAACCTGCTCCCAGGACGGGCCCTTTTTCAGTATTTTTAAGCGTGCCAGGGCTCCCCTCGCTCTCCGCAGAGCTGAGGACACGCGTGCAGTGAAGGATGTGGCCTCTGTCCCTCTGGGTGTGGTGGCTGTGGGTTCGGCAGGGCGTCTGTGCCCCGTGGCCCTGACCCCCGCCCTCTCGCCCCAGTGCCTGGCCGCCGGCTCCATCATCATGAACCGAGAGCTGGAGAGCATGGCCATGCGGCCGCTGGCCAAGGAGCTGACGCGCAGCCTGGAGGACGTGCGGAGCGCCCTGCGTGACCAGGCGCTGCGCGACCTCAGCGCCTACACGGAGAAGCTGCGGGAGGCGCTGCGCCACTTTGACGTCTTGTTCGCGGAGTTCGAACTGAGGTGACTCAGGTCACACGCGGGTCGCGGGTGGGGGGGACCACATGGGGCCTTTGCTTCATGAGTCGGGGGCTGGGGGGGGTGGCTCGGGGGGCTCCTTCTGATATTTCAAGTCCAAGCATTCCCCTGGGCGAGGAGCCGAGGCTGGGATCCCCGCAGGGGACGAAGTTCGAGGACCCTCCAGGGAGGGAGGCGACCCAGGTGGTGCGTCCTCAGAGCTGGAGGTGACCCAGGTGTCCCAGACCAACCACCACCTCTGCCCCTCCTGACACACCTGGGAGGTTCCAGCACGTCAGCCTCACGTTGCCTCCTGGCCCTGCCCTCAGTCCTCACCCTCAACCTCTGCCCTGTGCCCTCCGCCCTCCACCCTCCACCCTCCATCCGCCATCTGCACCCAGGCCTCGTTTGTCCTCATTTAATCATGCACTCACTCCACAGTACCTGCCAATCCCCTTCTTGGTGTGCTGGGATCTGAGGGCACCCCAGCTCCGCGGATACAGGGCCCAAGGCAAAGACCTCGGAGGGAGTGCAGAGTCAGGAAGGGCTCACAGTGCCCCCCACATCCCACATATACATATACACACCTCGTACATATACACACCACACATACATCACTCTCCACATTCCCCCACATCCCCCCCAAACATACATCCCCCACACACCACATACACACCACATAGATCTTCTTCGCACGTGCACACACCACACACACGCACATACCACACACACACATACCACACACACACATCACACATGCATGTACCACACACTACAGACACCACATACATACATCCCACACACCATACAGACACACACTCACACATCACACATGTACACACACACCATACAGACACCGCACACTCATATACACACCACATACACATACCACACACATTCATATGTCCATCATGCATACATCCCATCCATTTACCCCACACATACACATACCACATACATACACACACCACATACACACCTCTCTCACACAAATGCACATCCCCACACACACCCCACACGTGCTCATATCACAGACACACACACCACCACCCCACATCACATACACACACCCACACCCACATACACATATATACCCCACATATATACACAAAGCATACACACACATGCACACCCCACACATGCACCCTCCCCCCCACAAGCCTCACACCCCACATGTACACATCTCACATACACATCCCACATGCACACATGCACCCCACATGTGCACACACCACACACACTCACTCACTCACTCCTCACTTCACATGTCAGCATCAACATCACTGGCTCTGAGGGCAGCCACCCGCTTCATATCTGTCCCCCTGCCCCCGCTGCCACCCACCCAGGTTGCTACTGTTGACCCTTTAAAGAGCTGGAGCCCCCAGCCTCCTCCACGTGGTTGATCACCAGCCCCCTGCGCCCGCATAAGTGCCCCCTTGAGGGGTTGCCCCTTGAGGGGCAGGGAGGGGCCTGGCAACCCTGGCTTCTGTGGGGAGGGCCTTTGAGGAGGCTCAAGGTGAAGGGGCCAAACGCAGGTGGAAGGGACAGGACCCCAAGTCCAGATGGTCCCGGCTGATGGCAACTGCCCGCTGCGCCATCTTCCTACCCCAAGCCGGGGACCAGCCAGCGCCATGGCGAGGCCCTCTAGTTAGGGGACCACGGAAGCTGAGTTTTACTCCTTCTTTCAACTTCCCGTCTTCCCCAGCTGTTCTCCAATGAGCTTGTGTAACAAGACAAATTAGAGTTATTAATTTAGAAGGAAAAGTCAGGCAGGGGGTAAGGTCGGACAAACCCATTGCTCTGTGAGTTCAGCTCAGCTCACATTGTGTGTGCATTCCCTGGGTGCCCGCCCAGCACTGACTCCAGGGTCCAGCCTTGCCCACGATGGGGGCTCATGGACAGCTTACCCACCCACGCATTCACCCAGGAGGGGACAGTAATGTAACGGGCAGTCATGGTTCTGGGGGTGGGCAGCATGAGAGGGGCCCAGACCCGCCTGTCCCTGAGGAGGGCTTTAATTTATAAATCAGAATTGTAGCACTGCCAAGTGCATCTATGAAATTGTCAAAACGGGGTGGCCTCGTAGTCAGAGTGGTTTGATCCGGTTTAACCTGACATCTCCGTGTGTCTGTAGCTACGTCTCGGCCATGGTGCCTGTGAAGTCCCCCCGGGAGTACTATGTGCAGCAGGAGGTCATTGTCCTCTTCTGTGAGACGGTGGAGAGGTGAGGAGTGGCCGGGGCCACCACCCGTGGGGTGTCTGGACACCGGGGGCCCTGCTCCTCCCGGCCTCTGGGAGCTGAGGCACCCCAGGGGGTGACGACAAGTCACACAAGCCCCTCCTTGCTGACCATCTCTGCCATTGCCTCAGTGGGTGCAGGGGAGACAGGCCTCCAACCTGCCTGCCGCATGGACCTCTTCTCTCTCCAGAGGGCAGGCCCCACAGATGAAGATCATGGGGAGAGGGTGGGGGCAGAGAAGGAGCAGCCACCAGGGTGGGCCTCCCTCAGTAGGGGCCCCGGAGCGCGAGGCCAGGGCCCCAGCAGAGGACGGGCCCTGGCCTCCGCACTTCACCTCTGTGTCCTCACCTGTGCACTTCCCCTCCTCACCCGCACCCTTCCTCACCACCTCACCTCAGTACCTCCACCCCTTCTGTCCTCCAGACCTCCATGCCACTTCTCACCTGTTCACCTCACCTCCTCCCCTCGCAGTTCCTCACCTCTACACCTCACCTTCACCGATTCACGTTACTCCTCCCCTCCACACTTCCTCCCGACCTCTCCCTACCCCTTCACCTCCCTGGAGCCGTCACGGCCCATGATGTCCCCTGCTCACTTCACCCCTTCAAATGTTCACGTCTCCTCCACACTTCTTCACTTCTTCCTCCTTCTCCCCTTCACCTCCATCCCCCTCACTTCCACAGGCCGGGATGGGCCCTGGCTGGATTTCTGGTCTGTGGAACGGGGTTTTGGGGGGTGAATTATTGGCACTCTCACTGGGCCTATACCACCATCTGAAGTCAGAGTTTGTGTACGGACTTCGAGGTTGAGGTGTGTCCTGCAGCGATTCTACTGTTTGATTAGTGTGGTTGGCTCACAGACGTTCTCCACATGCCTGCTGCCATGTTATAGTTTATTTTTCAAAAGACAGATTCTTCCCTGTTTATGCTTGGAGGGTGTTTCATATTTTCAGAAAATGAGACGACAGAAATTTCCTTTTATTTTGATAAACTGTGATGCCCTGAGCGCGTGCGAAGGACAGCCTGTGGTACCCATGGGCCAAAGCAGATCCCAGAGAGTAATTTCAGCTGTGCAGGGAGGCCCTCAGTCCCGCGGGCGGCGTTTCCCCTGCCTTTACTCTTCACTCCATGCTGTTTCCATTCCCTGGGGCAGCAAAGTGTGTGACGGGTCACCTCTCTCCTTCTGTTTGGTTGGAAGTCATGCTTTCTTCCCTCGGTGCCCCACCTGTCCCTGCATCAGGCACAGACTTCTTCGCCCACTTCCTGTTATGTCCCTCCCTCCCGGGACAGGGGTGGGATCAGGCAGGAGATTCCAGAAGCTCTGGGACAGGCGGCAGCCCCGTCCTTGGCCCTCTGCACATACCACCCTCCTGACTTGTCCGCTGAGTGTGAGTGTAGGTGCAGGCTGAGCACGCTGCCCTGTGGACGTGGGTCTGACCTGTGGACACAGGCCTGCCCCTTCCCACCGTCTCTGTTCCTCGCCAGAGCCCTGGACTTCGGGTACCTCACCCAGGACATGATTGATGACTACGAGCCGGCCCTCATGTTCACCATTCCCCGGTTGGCCATCGTGTGGTGAGTGTCTGGCCTGGGGCCTGAGCCATCATTTTGCAGATACCTGGTGGGACTGTCCCACCTTGGCTTGGTGTGGCCCGGTTTTCTCTGGGTGCTGATGCGGTGCTGGGGCCCCTGGGTGGGTGGCCGTTCAGCCACATGGAGTAGCCCCGGCAGGCCCACCATTGTCCTTCAGCAGACGAGGAAGTGAGGCTGGGGCTCTTGTGGGGCTTCTCAGAGCTTCTGGGACCCAGGCCACACCCAGTGCTCGGGGCTTGGTCCCCTGCTGCAGGGCCACACCCAGACTCCCGGGCAGGCCCCTTCCCTCTGCTGGAGGAGAGAATCTGGGTGGGGTGGTCCCAGAGGGCGGAGGAGGGGCCATGGGTGGGCCAGGGGTACTGCAAGGAGAGGACTGGGGTCTGTGGCGGGTGGACAGGTGTGTTGTTGATGCCGTCGGGTCGGCTCCGACTCATAGCGACCCTGCACAGCAGAACGAACCACGGCCCATTCTGGCCACGGAGCTGGGCAGAGAGTGGGGGCCAGGAACCCTCAGCTACAGGAAGCAGTTGGAGATGTGGACGCCAGCGAAGTGGCTTGGGGGGTGTAAGGTATACACGGGGATCAGGACTGGTCCAGGCATGGGCCATGGAGAGGCGCCCAGAGAGGGCCAAGGGGCGCCTGAATTGTGGGTGCCACAGCAGTGCCCTGAGCGCCAGCACTGGACTCCCTTCTGGGAGACAGGGTTGCAGAGCGCCAGTGGGGTAGGAACAGGGCAGCAGGAAGGGCTGGCTCCAGCCTCCAGGGGCCAAGTGCTTCCCTCCTTGGCCAGGACCTAGACTAGCCCTGAGCTGTGTGCAGGAGGGTGAGGGCCGGGTCAGGGTGCTGCAGTGGGGTCACACCACCCCCGCCTGTGACACGCTGGGATCGACAGGCCAGACCAGCCTGTTTGCCTTGGGAGGGGCTGGGAGACTTTGAATGAGAGTAAGGGCTCCTATGGGGAAGGGCTGCGGGGGCAGGAGCTTGGGGCCTTGCGCAGGACTCTGGAGATGCTGAGCTGGGGGAGCCCTAAGACCTGTTGGCTCCAGCCCCGGGTGAATGTCCAGATTTGACTGTAAGGAGGACATGTGGCGCCCGGCCACCTGCACACGTCCTGTGTGCCGGCTCTGCCACTGAAGGGGTTATTCCTCCTCTGAGGGGTCTCAGGCTGGCCCATTTGTTCTAGAGCTCTGACGCTTTGGTCATTTTCCTCTTTGGTAGAAAGTTGCTGTTTCCTTGCACGAGGTGAACAAATCAGAAAAGTCAGAGAAGGGGCACGTCACCCTTTAAAATCCCACCAGCAGTTGGATTCGAGAATCCTCTGTCCGTTGAAGGTGGAGGACTTGGAGGTCAGGCGCCTCCAGTGGGTGAAGCACCCTCGGGGTGGGCGCCCAACACTGCTCCCACGGCACTGGCGCTGCTGATGGTGTCCACACGACTCTGCCGTGTTGTTTTCTTTCCTGGCAAACGTCTCTGCACGGCCATAGTCAATTTAAAGACAAACAATAAACATTTTGGGTCCTTACTTCACTTCACTGTGCTTAAAAAACTGGGACAAAACCATATAAATGTTGTTGTTGTTGTTTTGTGCCATCGAGTCAGACCCGACTCATAGCGACCCCTCCTTGGGTTTCCGAGGCAGTATCAGTACAGAAGTAGATTGCCCCATCTTCCTTCCAAAGAGTGGCTGGTGAGTTTGAACCGCCAGCCTTCTGGTTAGCAGTCAAGTGCCTTAGGCACTATGCTACCAGAGCTCCTATAAATAGTTACTGTTACTTTAAAATACAATAACAACACGAAGCTACCTCCTTCTGAGCCCGTGCTCTGCGGCCTTCCCTGTCACCCAGGCTTCCTGTCCTTTGTCCCTGTGGCCCTGAGCATCCTGTCGGAACTTTCAGACCTGCCTAGCCGCCATATTTCTTTCAGCTCCCACTGAGGTGTTTCCAGAGCATATCCTCTTATTCCCCGAGGAAGTACTTGGGTGGTGCCAGTGGTTAAGTGCTTGGCTGCTAACCAAGAGGTTGGGGGTTCAAGACTACCCAGAGGTCCCGCAGAGGAAAGCCCTGGCTGTCTGCTTCCAGAGGATCAGCTGCTGAAAACGCAGTGGAGCCTGGTTCCACTCTGACACAGGTGTGGTCACCGTGAGTCAGCCGACTCAACAGTATGTTTGAAAAACATGGTGTCACAGTGTGTGCAAATAAACAGGCTTACCTGTAATCAACACAGGAAAGTACTCACTGATGTAGCATTTGTAATGATAAAAGGGGGGGGGGCAGTAATCCAGAACAAAGGAACTGATTCAAAATGCTCCTTCAGTCGTTCATGTCCCACGCAAACCATTCCAGGCACGTTATATACAATACAGTTGAGAATAGTATGTCTTTCCCATACAAATGTTCTTAACGTGATAAGCATGACTTTTGAAAACAGGTATCAAAGCAAAAACTGTTATTTTAAAGAAGATTGGCTGCACACCCTTCTAGTGGGGCCCCAAGCAGGACCTGGGCCAGGCCCCTCGCTGTGTGCTCCACGTGCCCTGTCCTGTCCCGAGGCTCCGGGGACCAGCCTCCCTCTGCCGGCTCAGCTGTGCGGTGCTGCCCGGCCACTCCTGGGCAGTAGTGTGGACACAGCCCTGTGAGACAGTCGGATCCCCCGGCCCCTCGGACAGTAGCTTCGTGGGACCCATCTGCTTGCTTCGATGGCAGGGGCCTTACCAGAGCCTCATTCTCCCGCCAGCCCTCCCAGCCCCAGCTCCTGGCCTCCTGGACCCCGGCCATGGTGTGGGCCTGGCTGCTGTTTGGGGGCTGCACCTCACCCCCGCCCCTAGACAGGGCCAGTCAGCCCTCAACACTGCTGGGCCCCTCCTGTGTCCCAGGCCTGGGACGTGAAGCCCAGCCTTGCCCTTTTTGTCAGGGTCACCTGGCCCATGGGGACAGACAGCCAGGCTGTCCATCCACTTTGTCTGTGTCCCCTCCCGGTAGTCAGGGCACATGCTGGGCCTGCTGATACCACCACAGTGGGATGGGCCGGGCAGTGTCCCGAATGTTCCAGCAACAGGATGGGACAGGCCACTGGTTGCCAATTAAAGCTGAGGGGACATCCCCAGGCCCCTGACTGCCTACAGAGAGGGTGGACTATGCACCACGCCCCCCTACGTCAGCCGTTCTTGGAGGCCCCGGCTGCTCTGGGACCAACAACAGGCCTATTCACGGGCTGGGCTGTGTCTTGGCACCTTGACAGGCCTGGCAGGCAGTCTTCCACGCCCTTTGTCTGCCTGCCTTTGGGATTGTGGCATCCCATGGGGCACCTGACTGATCACTATAGGCTTGACCACTGAGCACAGCAGTTGGGGAAGCTGGTGCGTTGGGTCACAGAGGCAGACCCAGCCCCCCACCACTGCTTCTGAAAGAGAAGAGAGCCAAGAAGGCGGGGCAGAAATGCACCAACCCCACTCCGTTTCTGTCCGTTTTCACTCTGCTTTTGTCTTGAGCCTTAAAAACCTGTTGCCATCCAGGCAAGTCTGACTCATGGGACCCCACATGTTGGAGTAGAACGGCCCTGGTGGGTTTGCTGGACTGTGCTCGCCACAAAGATTGCCAGGCCTTGCTTCCGTGGCGCCACAGGGTGGGTCCAGACAGAACCTTTCGATGAGTGGTCAAGCACAAACAGTTTGTACCACCCAGGGATCCATGAGACCACCTTATCTAGCCATAGAATGAAGGGTTCTCGCTCGGGAAAACCAGAGAGCCATGCAGGTGGAACTCCACTTACAGAAGGGGGCCTGTGGGCGGGCGTCTGGGAGGCGCTGGGGAAGGTGCTGTGTCCACAGGGGGACATCCCAGGCACTGGGGCATGCTAAGGACTGAGTGTCTGGGCCCGGGGGGGCCTGGGCTGAGGCACCCAAGGGGGCCTTCAACAAGCGGGTTCTGTGGCGGGGAGATGGTCTAGGGACGACGACCCAACCGAGTCTGATTTGGGCAGGGGTTGCTGGTGCGTGGTGGGAGCCCCAAGGGGACCAGTTTGGTGCTGACCGTGGGCTGGGGGCCACCTGGAGGGACAGCTGTGAAAATCAGCCTTTAGGACACATTGGCTGGACACTGATGAAAGTGGCACAGCCCCAGGCCGGGGGGAGGGAGGCATGGAGGGGGCTGTGAGCCATGGGTACCCCTCAGGAGTGAGGGTCGGTCCTACCTGGGGGGTGAGGTAGGCGGTGGAGGCATGTAAGGAGCGGTGGGGACAGCAAGGCAAGGGCAGGCAGAGCCTCAAAAGACAGCTTTCTCTGGGGACCCTCTGGGGCTCAGGAGTGAGGCTGGGCAGGGCTGGGCTGAGCCCAGGCTGTCACAGCCCGCTGTGGGGCAGGAGCCAGGAGAGGCTGTGGTCAATGTGGGTTAAAAAGACTCAGGGTGGCACCTGGGCTTGGGGAATGTGGGCAGGGGGCGCCCTGGGGCCTCCAAGCCCTGAGAGTCCCTTGGGATGCTGAAGACAGTTGAAGACATTGTCCCAAGTGTTTCCCCCAAAATGCCCCACAGATGTCCTACCCATCCCTGCCTGGTTGGACCCCACCCCGGAAGTGGGAGGGACTATCCCTGGGTCTTGGGCAGCCCTGGTGATGGCAGGTGAGTGGCCAGAGGCTCGGGTGGTCCTGGCGTTGGGGTGGGAAACCCAGCTTCCCTGTGGGGTCACTGCTGGGACCCAGGTCCTGCTTACCCACACCCCACTGCTAACATCCTTATCACTTCAGACTAAATCACTCGCAGGCTGATTCGAATAAACGTCTACAAGTATCTTTCAAAGCAAACAGGATTTTCCATGGTCGAGAAGGTTTGGTGAAAGGCCTGGCCCTGGCTGACTGGGTTGTGGACATGGTGCATGTGATACGTTTTCATGGTGCTTTTATGACCCTCAGATCACCCTGAGCACATTGTCTTCAACAGACAGGAAGACCAGGGTGACAGTTTCTGTGCCTCTTTGCTAACTTAATTGCAATTCTACCCAAGACAGCGAGGGGAGGGGTGCACTGGGGGTGCGTGTGCCAATCCCGAGTGTGCGTTCGCTCCCAGGCGTTTAGAACCAGAGGGCCTGGGCTCGTGGCCCAGACCTAACAGCTGCTCGGCTTCTGTGTCCTGACCGCAGTGGCCTGGTGGTGTACGCAGATGGACCGCTAAACCTGGACCGCAAGGCGGAGGACATGTCCGAGCTGTTCCGACCCTTCCACACGTTGCTGCGGAAAATAAGGTGGGGGGGAGGGGAGGGAGGCTGCCGAAGGGGAGAGGGGTGCTGTCCCCGTGAGCCATCCCAGAGCCCTATTCTTCCTGGGAGCTTCAGGGCAGGATGTTAACAGCCTTCGTGGCTGTGAGTGACCTCGGTCTCTCGTCTGCCTTTGCCAGGACGATGCCCGCTGCACGCTGTTGCCACTCTTTATTTTTGTGCAGTGAGTGGGAACCCTCACGGCCCAAGCCCTGCCTTAAGATGGGTGCACAAAACAAAACACAGGCCGTGTTTTTTTTCTTTTTTTTTTTTTTAGCAAGGACAGTCAGTTTGCCTTTTGGTTGTCAGAGACCCCAAAGCTGACTGCTGTTGAACGAGCCCACAAAGAGTTACTGTCTCGCGGTGGCCTCCTGTGGGCAGAGGAGAACCGTGCTCCTTGGCGTTCCCAAGGTCGTGACCTTTCGGAAGCAGGTCACCAGGCTTTCCTGCCGAGGCGCCTCTGGTTTGAGCAGCCAACCGTTAGCGTCATGGGCTGAGCCATTTCCCCCATCAGTGCTCCATGTTCATGGCTTAGGCCAGTGGTTTTCAAACTGTAGCTTTTGTCTTTTTCAATTGGGTAAAATAAAGCAAAACATAACATTTACCATCATAACACTTTTATATATGCCCTTCAGTGACATTTAGTACATTCACCACGTTGTACAACCTTCGCCACTGTCTGTTTCCAAAACCTTTCTTCACCCCAAACAACAAGCTGTTCCCCTTTGGTAATGACTCATCCCCTCTTCTCCCAGCCCCTGGTGGTCACTAATCTATTTCTGTCCTGTTAATTTGCTTCTTCTATAGATTCCATATCTATGGAATCACACCACATTTGTCCCTTGGTGTCTGGCTTCTTTCACTCACCATACTGCTTACAAACTTCACTTGTGCTGCAGCATGAATTGAAATTCCATTCCTTTCCATGGCTGCATAATATTCCACTTGTGTCAGGGAACACCACATGCATTTCTGGTGAGTGCATAGTATAGAAGTGGCACAAGGCAACTGCCCCAATATAAACCACATGGAGTAGATGCACACAGTGGAACATTACACAGCCACGAACATTACTGATGCATGCTACAGCTTGAATGACTCTTGGAAACAGTACGCTAAGGGAAATAAGCCAGGCCCCAAAGGGCAAATACTGGATGATCCAACTTGTATCCAGAATAGGCAAGTACATGGAGACAGACCATTGGTCATGGGTCACCAAGGGCTGTGAGGGACGGAGAAGGAGATGGCGTTTTCAGTCATACTGTGTTTCTGCTTGGGGTGATGAGAAGGGTCAGGAGACACTGGGGAAGGTTGCATGACATTGTGAATATATCACCACCACTGGATTCTGCACTTAAAAATGGTGAAAATGGCAAGCTGTGTATTGTATATATAGCCCTGGTGGAGCAGTGGTTAAGTGCCCAGCTGCTCACAGAAAGGTTGGCAGTTCAAAGCCAGCTAGTGACTTGTGGGAGAAAGACCCAACGCCCCACTCTCACGGAGGTGACCTTACGGGGCAGTTTTCCTCTCACACGGGGTCACTATGAGTCGGAATTGACTCAACGGCACTTAACAACAACATGTTTTATTGTGATAAAAAGATACCACTCCCATTAAACAAACTAAATTCTAATCATATGATAACCGTGGGATGGTATGTTTCCAACTGTTCCAACAGTAAATTAACACAGAGTGAAGAGAGAGGGAGAGAGAGGCACAGAGATGGTTGACCCACAGAGCCCCCAAGGGGTGGGGTAGGTGACAGATGACAGTGGGGTCGTGGTGAAGGCTGTTTAGCCTTGGGTGAACGATGCCATCAACACAGACGGTTGGGCAGAACCTCGCCTAACCATTGTGTTTGGGCACAAACAGCGGCAAGTCTCCTTACCCAGCAAGTAGTTTTTGTTCACAGAACCGGAGGTTCAGAATCTCCTTCTTAAGAAACCGTCTCGGTGTCTCTGACGGGGGTGCCCAGTTCACAGCCCGCCATCTGGGATGGCTGTGGTCCCAAGCTACAGTTTGGAAAGACCGTTGGAGAGGGGCCTGTCCTGTGTCCACGTTCTGTAGGGGAGGAAACCCGTGCCAGCATGCTGTGGGTCCCATCACCCGAGTTCAACATCTCCTTGGTTTTCGGCGAGTGCAGCCGTCACGGGTGTTGTGTCCACTCTTGGGTGGGGGTGGGGCTTCCACGTGGCCTTTGGGACCTCACCCCATTTTGTGTCTTGGTCGCCGTAGGGACTTGCTGCAGACCCTCACGGATGAGGAGCTGCACACGCTGGAGAGGAATCTCTGCATTTCACAGGACGTGGACTTCCCCATCCGGGCAGATGTCCAGGCGCCTGCTGCCTTGGCGCCCACCTTCCCTGCACCCCTGCCCACTGTGGAGCCGCTTGCCACCAAGGCCAAGGACCCGGATGCAGAGCTGGCCTGCTCCATGCAGTACGACGACCAGGAGCTGGAGCAGCTGAACCGCATGGTCCACCGGGCAGGGGACGAGATGTCGTCCCTCCTCTCCCCGCCCAGTGCCTGCCAGTCCCCGGCTCACAGGCCGGAGGCCGAGGGCGGCCCCCGCGGGGAGGCGTCGCCTGCCAGGGCGCCTCGGGAGCAGGGCAGTGACGAGGAGAGGGTGTTCTTCATGGACGACGTGGTGGGGGTGGGAGAGGCCCCGGGCAGCCCCTTCGGGTGGGCGGGCAGCACCTGTGCCCACCCGCAGGAGAGAGAGCAGGTCAGGGAGAGCGGAGAGGCGGGGCTCGGCAAGGCTTCGGCGGCAGAGGACGAGGACGTGCGCAATAACAACACCGAAGACGACAAACTGTGGGCGGCCAGCCTCTCAGGCCCCAACTCCTGCAGCTGCCAGGATGCCCAGCTGTCCCTAGACGGCTGGGAGGCTGGCACCGAAGACGCTGAGACCGCCGAGATAATCGCCCACCGGACCGGGGGCATGAAACTCTCGGCCACGGTCATCTTCCACCCTAAGTCGCCCATGTCCTCGGGCGCGGGCGCCACCGCCCCGGAAGCTCCAGCCATCGGGGCTGCCCCTCTGGGCCCCACGGCGAAGGTGGACATCGACCCTCGCAGGCTCAGCCCAGCCGCCACCAACTGCCTCATTAACTCATGCGTGTGCTGCGGGACCTGCGGGGACATCAGGGACGAGGCCGACAGTTCCCAGGAGAAGTGCAGTCCTGGGAGCGTCATCAACGCCTCTTACACGGGCCTGGCCAAGGCCAGTGACAAGGGCCCCGGGGAAGGACTGGAGAAGGGCCGGCCTGCCCCCGAGGCACTGCCCGCAGGCACCACGGCCCCTCTGCCCCCAGAAGATGTCCCTGACGGGCAGGAGCCCAAAGGCCCTTCTTCCCGGGGCCAGGTGGACCCTGGAGGCGGGTCGCCAGGTGAGGGTGATGTTGGAGGTCAGCCGGAGGGCGAGGTCAGAAGGCTGGACCCTGGGAAGGAGGCCGGGGAGGAGTGTCAGCAGGAGCCAGTGGCCCACAAGGAAGCGGGGTACCAGGCTGGCTCCAGGTAAGCTTCCAGGCCAGAGAGGGGTCCGACCTCACGCTCTGCATTTGGGGCTCTCCCAGTGCTGACGTGTTCCCGGGCAGGACTGGGGGCCCCCCACAGGTGCTGGGCAGGCCTCAGGTGTGGTGTTGGGTGCACTGTCCGTGGGGCGGGGGGTGGGGCTGGCCGGGAGCTGGGCTCACGTGCTCCCAAAATTAGTCCTTCAGCTGCAGACACCCACCTGCTGGCCATGGCGGCTCCGAGAGCTTCTCAAGGGCCTGGTCCTCCCCACCTGTGTCTCCCTTCCCTCCCCTCCCCCGGTTCTCCCAGTTCTCTCCAGTCTCCTCTAGTTCCTCTCTCTCCTTCCCTCCACGCTGCACCAGCTCTCCCTCCCCCGCCCTCTCCCCCTTCCTCACCCCTCCCTGTTCACTCCTCCTCTTCCTTTACCCCCTCCTCCCTGACTCTCCCACTTACTCCTCCTCCCCACCTCCTCTCCCTTCCCCTCCCCTCCCTTCTCCTCTCTTCCTCTCCCTTCTC